TTATTACATTTCTAATAATAATAATGTTCATTATTTTGTTCTTTTCTTTTATTAATTTAAAAAATATCAATCCGAGGGCGCGTAATATTTCACGAAAATGAGATTTCTAGAAGCATGATTAAAAATGGAAATGAAGGAAAAAGAAATATTTCAAGACAGAAAATAAAATAATACAAAAAAAAAAAAAGAAAAATATGTAAGATTCAACAGTAAATGTTTCTTCGTTTCGTTTATTTATTCGCGAATATGGTATATATATGTAATAATAATTAATTATTATTATCGTTGTTAATTTTAAATAAGAAATTAAATTTCAAACGATCTCTTTATAAATATTTTAGTAATATTTGATTTTTTTTTAATTTGTTTTTTTTTCCAATCCTCGTAATACTAATTCTTAAATTTTTGTCTACTAAAATCGCAGATAAGAAATTTCTCTTTTATAATAAATCGAAATACGAAATATGATGATGTTAACTTTTAAGAAAAATTATTATTATTATTATTATTATTACTACTACTATTATTATCATTATCATTATTACTACTTTATTATTATCCTTATTTTTATTATTGCTATTATTATGATTATTATTATTATTATTATATTAACGAAGCTTGAATTTTTTAAACGTAAAAAAAAAATTATGGAATATGAGTTTTAATACGCGAGGCACAAGAGAAACATATCAGCTATATAGTTTTAAACAAACAAACAAAAAAGAAAAGAAAATAAATCGGCGTTTGCGTGTAAAAGAAAACTCGACAGGTACAACATCCATGATAATAAAGAATATTTATTATTAATACTACGATACGTTTTTGAAGAAAGAAAAAAATTAACTAGAATTTCATGTGTAACGATAACGTGAAGCTTCATCATATTCTCTAACGGGATACGACATAAATACTTGCTAGAGACGCTCTTTCTGTGCAATTTATTATTATATTACAAACAAAAATAATAATAATAATAAGTAAATAAGTTGTGCGTTGTAAGGGATATATTATGAGAGGGACGGTATACAAAGAGAAGAGAGACTGGGCCTATGGCAGGTAAACAAAACAAAAAAAGAAATGATCGTGTTTTCTTATGTAATTTTTATTTATAAAAAAAAAAAAAAAACCGTATATTTTTTTTTTTTCATTTTATTTGTTTCATCTTTCCTCGTTTTTCTTCCTTCGTTTATTTTTTATTCGCAATAATAGAAAATAATTATATGACGTCATGAGAAATTGTTTATTTGATAAAATTGTCGCTTGCAACATACTCCTCGTAAGATGTGTGTGAAACGTTTATTCGTTTGAATAACTTGACAAATTTTATTTTTTAAATATTTTGTTGTTTCAAATCGTGGTACAAGCAAAGAAACATTGTCACTCGTTTAGCATACATATATATATATATATAAAAATTAGAATAAAAATTTGTTAATATTGCGATTGATTTGCACGATCAATTCACACTGATAAATTGTTTGTAGAAAAGAAAAAAAGAAGTAAGTGCGCTCGGTAAGATGTAGTTTTTATTCTATATACTTTTGTAATCCTACAAACAAACAAACAAATACCACAGCACAGACACACACCACACACTCGTCGCGTATATTATTAAATGACGTATGTATATATATATATATACGTTCTACATTTAATATATGTATATTATTTTATCTCGAATTGTCAAGAGAGAGAAAAAGAAAGAATGCATGTATACATGAAAAAAAAAGAAAAAAGAGAGAGAGAGAGAGAGAGAGAAAGAGTGTTTGCAAGTGTGTAATAGAAAAAGTGAAAATAATGAGAGAAAATCTCACTGTGTATTTGTTATATTCCTAATTTTATTATTCTTAATTATTATTATTATTATTATTATTATAATTATTATTAATTCTTATTATTTTGTTTGTTAGATATCATATTCTTGAAATATTTTTCTTAGCATGTTATGAAATAAACACGGAGACGAACTCACAAATGTACAATGAAAGATAAACACAAACAAACAAACAAATGACAAAAAAAGAAGTGAAGTGAAGTAAAGTGAAGTAAAGTAAAGTAAAGTAAAGTAAAGTAAAGTAAAGTAAAGATAAAAGGAAAAAAAATCTTCGGCTATATCGCCCACGTATAAACGCATATTTAATTGTAATTGTAAACGATAATTGTCTTTTAAGGATTACTTTCAGGATACAATAATTGGAGAGAGAGAGAGAGAGAGAGCGAGAGAGAGAGAGAAAACTAAATATCCTCTTCTCTGTATTTGTCCTGATTAATTAAAAAAAAAAACAACAAAAGGGATTTTCTAAGAGAATCGTGAAAACAACCAGCGGTACCCTTGAATTCTACCGCAGTGTAATAATTAAAAAAAAAAAAAAAAAAAAAAAAAAAAGGGAAAAAAAAATTTTTAAAAATAATTAAAAAGTACTAATACGAATAACGAGCGGTATTGGGAAAAATAACAAGAAGAAGAAAAATATAAATAAATGAATAAATAATAATAATAAAAAGATGTGAAAAGAGAGAGAGAGATGCTGCCCTAAGAAAAGAAAAAAAAAAGAAAAAAGAATTAAGCGATTTATTTGCTAATCATTTATAATAATATAATGTTCCTAAAGAACTCAAGCGTACACTGGAGGTGACTTCTTTCTCTTGGAAGTTCCTTACGGGATGTACCCTAACGTACAACAACTTAGTGTACGTCCAGAAGCCATAGTGCCTACACACAATAATAATCACACCCCTTTCTGCAATTGTATATAATTAAAGTAAAGAAAAAGAAAAAGGAAAAAAAAAAATACTTATATATCTATACATATATATATATAGGACATATCGTATATATGTTTTTATATATACGTGTATGGATATACATTTAATATAAACACGACAAATACACAAACACATACATTTTACGAATGTAATAATAATAACGACTCTAATGGACAAAACACAGATGCTGCTAACACCACCATGGTTATATATCGCAAAACACAAATGAAGTAATATCAGTTAGTTATTTTTTATTACCATTAGTTATTATCATCATCGTCATCGTCGATATCGAGAAAGAGAGAGAGAAAGAGAAAGAAAGAAAGAAAGAAAGAAAGAAAGAGAGAGAGAGAGAGAGAAAGAGAGAATCATAAAGAGAAAAATGAACGGAAGGATGTTAGTTTATATATATATATATATAAATATTATATATATAAATTTCACTTATTATATATACTTATACATATATATAATGAGTAATCACACGCGTGCGCGCGTTTGTGTTTTTGTAGAAATGAAATAAGTTCTGTGTGGACATTGCGCAGAAATGGAATGATTCAAAAAACTTATTATTATATTATAATATGTATATTAAAAGAAAAAGAAAAAAGGAAAAAAAAAAAAATAATTATTGACATAATTTTTAAAACGAAGATTTAAATCGTTGGGTGCTTGTTATAAAAAAAAAAAAAGTATTGCGATATCGTTTTAATGAATTATTTTTTAATAAATCTACGTGTTCGTATAATCGATATTTTTTTTTTTAAGAATTTACTCAATTGACGAAAAAAATGTGTTTTATTGTTATATATATATCATTCATCTTTTTTTTTTTTTAATTATTATTCAATCTCGTTGAACCTGCACAATGTCCGATATGAAAATAACAACCAACAGCAACGAGAGAAAATAAGGGATGGACTTACAATCTTACGGTTGAAATTGTATGAGAAGATTTATGGATTTTTTTTATTTATTAATTTTTTTTTTTTTTATAACTGCCTAGTTTTTTATTTATTTTTTTTTTTCCCAGTCCCCATTTTTAAAAATCGATTCATCAATGTATAATACACGTACATTGTGTGAAATAAATCGCAGCAACACGCTTTTTTCATAACGCTTTGTGCAACAAAAGAGAGAAAGAAACAAATAGAGAGAGAGAGAGAGAGAGAGAGAGATCGTAATAGCGCGTATGAATGAATGTACGAGTGTATGAAAGTGAAATTTACACGATCGAAATTTGTCGATCCCCTTTTCACGCCCCTCTCGTCGTTGACACACAACAGTGAGAAGTTTAATCAATATTTTCTATCTGAATATTTACAAGGATATTGCGAAATCTGGATATGTAGGAGCTTAGATAACGATTTTACATATATACATACATACATAAATAATTTAGAAGTCCTCTTATCCACCTCTTTCTCTAATTCAATCCCCCTCTATCCCAATAAATCCCTGTTTCACCTCTAAGAAGAAGAACCATTACAAATTGATAAATTTGTTCTTGTACAAAAGTGAACGATTATAATAATTCTGTGCGTAATTGTAACGAATTATTTCTTCGATGAAAATTACAACACCTCGTATCGTCAGATTTCGTGGCATCTTTTTTTCTATCTCTCTAAGCATACATTATCTATCATAATATATATTTATGATGATAAAAAGAAAAAAGAAAAATCACCCCGATATTATTTTTTATCCTAAAGTTTGTTCTAACACAATGTTAGTGTATGAGATCGCTTTTAAATCAAATTACGTTTAATATTTGCATTGAAATTTTATTCGAAAACATTTGGGTTTCTTAATTTTATTTTGTTGACTTTAAAAGAAATGATATATATTGTTATCTTTATTTTTATCTATTTTGTATTTAAAAGAAAAAGGAACAAATAAAGAAATCATAGGGCACTTCTTATCGTCGATCGATTGCAATTGATCGAAACGACAAATCGATTATTATATGACGAATGAAGATTTTTCTCAAGGATTTGAAATAAGATAATCTCTAATGAATGAATATTAAAAAGAAAAAGTTATAAAAAAATAGAAAAATATTAAAAAATTATAATAAGCTTGTATAATATTGTGTTATACAAGCATTCGTATTTTTTAAGTGCTCACATAGATATATGCGTATATATATATATATATATGCTCTTGAATATTTCAATTAATCAATTTGCATGAAGAAAGTAATGTATATAAATTTAAATATTAATTTAACAATCTCGCGAAATTATTTGATAATATTTTATTACGGCGTAAAAAAATATATCAGAATATATATGGAAATACTTTAGAGTAAGAAGGAAAGTCTGTCTTTGGTAACAATTTTGCAACAAATAAATGTTTTGGTATTTTAATTATATTTTATTTTAAATATTTATCAATTTCTAATCACGTAAGTTCTTCTAAATATTTAAACTATATTAATACATAAATCTATATAAATATAAACACGACATATGCCCCTGAATAAAGGCAACTCGAAATAGATTTACCCCATCGAATCTTTTCCATAGTTACGCTCCTGATATACGTTTCCATAGCAACCATGAAAATATTGGCGGCAAGAACAAGTTTTAATATAAATCAAATATGGAAGCCAATAAATATTTTGTTCCGCATTATTATAATTATATTACATTATTATAATTAAATATCACATTTATTTAATTTACATATTACATAATTAATAACCAAAGTACGCGCGCGTGTATGATACAGTTTTAAAAATAGCGCGTAATATACATCGATATGACATCGTAACTGTAAATCGAGAATTTCGCGAAGGACAAATGTAAACAGGAACGAAAACGTTCAGTGCTTCGACCTACCTCAATAATATTTGCATCAACCTATCCCAGCACTTCCACGAGGGAATACCTTTTGATTATTTTCGTAATATTAAATACATTTACAAATAAATAATTCTTATTAATATTATTCATTTATTTAAAATAAAAGCGTAATACGTAAAATATGGTTAATGAACAATGAATTAACATCATTTATAATTTTCAATGATTATGTTTGTCAACGTTAATTAATTAGCGTTATATTTATGTGATATAATATAAGAATGTTAATCTCATGATTTTTAAATATTGATAATAATTGTAAAAGATTATTAAAAATCTAACTCCGATAACAGCGACTCGTTGCGGTCAAATGTGTGATTTTAAAATAGATGAATGAAAAGTTAGGTTAATTCACGATATCGAAATAGATGCATGAAAAGTTAGGTTAGTTTAATTGGCATTACCAAATTGATATTTACTTAAAATTTGTATATCGTATACAAGAGAATTATTATTATAAATTTATTGTTGTATATCTTGTGTTATAAGTTAAGTTTTATAATTGTTATTAGTTTGATTATAATTATGGCTTCTCCGTCTTTGATAATACAAAGAGGTATATCAACTTCTTGTATTAGTTATGGAAAGCGTAATTTTCGTAAATTCTTACTTATCAATAAACGTGGTAGTCGAGTTTTCAAAGAAAAGCAAAGGACAGATCCATATCCGGATTATCCAATAGACAGTAAGTTCAGAATTATTTAACACCTATTGTCATCATTGTTTATGTTTTCAAAATAATTATTTAAAATGTACGCCAACTTTATTAGATTTGTTATATTATTTGTGCAGAAAGAGGAGTGAGAGATATAGGTTTCAAAGTGGGACAAAAATTTGTTCGTGTACCAGAAATGATACCGCAACTTATCGTCCCATCTTTAGAAGGTTTTAATTTGAAACCGTATGTATCGTATAAAGCGAATGTTAGTCAAGGAGAATTTACAGCTAAAGATCTCTTCAACGAGATATATGCTAAAAAGATCAAAGAGGATTTCGAGAAAGAAGATTTGTATCCTAATGGAGATCCTAAGAATCCTAGTGAATACGAGAAACTTACTCCGCAAGAAGCATTAGATCGTGCCAAGAAAACTGGCACCGATATCTTTTGTGATGGTGTACCGAGTAGCTACATTCGCGAATAGGAGATATTTCTGTATTATACGGTAGCAAAGAGATGCTATTAAAACATTATCAAAGTTTTAATCTAAAATGTGGTGTTATATTTAATGTTACAATAAATTATAAATAAGTATTTCTATAAAATATATTTATATTGAATTTAATATTAACTCCTTTTGCATTATAACAAAGTGTGAGACTCATGATATGTTTTATGGCTTATGATATAAACACGAGTTTTGCTCGTAGTGAATTTTATGGATCAAACATAAAAAGCACTAATATGGAATGCAGCTTCATGTGTTAAATTATAATACGAGAGATTAATTAAATTTTTATACATATTAAAAGATAAAGAAATTAAATCAAAGTTTTGATCCTCATATGTTTTTATTTGGTACATTCTATGCACGCGCTTATACATATGTAGATGATTTATAAACAGTAACTACTGAACTATCATTTGTAACGAATAAAGAAACGAGCAAATATCTATTTTCTCTAGGAGGACAAAAGTGGAGTTTCCATATACACCTTTATTAACTCGTGTGTTGTGTGTGTGTGTGTGTATGTATGTGTATGTGTGTCTGTTATTATTTATAATATCTTTCTGTATGATGGTAAACTCGTGTGGCAGTCTTAATTCAATAGCAAATCATTGCTCTACCAAATATCGCAGATGTTATTTTATGTTAGACCGTGCATTGCAAAACCAATAATCGATAATATCTTACAAACAGTCTTTTTACAAAGTATATATATAAATACATATTTATATATATACTAAAATTAAAGACACATACTAGCATATATTATCTTGATGCGCATAGAGATGAAATGAATTTTATTGCTGATTACAAATGAATGGAATACATCGTTTAAAATGATCCCAGTTTAAAAATGGAATTACTAATCCATCGCTCCAAAAAGACAAGCTTAAATGGATAGATATTATCTTCTATCAATCAGTGGCGGTTTTAGAAACAAATTTCAATTCCTGAGTCTTACACATATTTTGTTTGAAGTACTAAGCCTTTTTAGAATGACAGAGTATTTTTTTCAGAATTAGGCTAACTTAACGGCTATTGATCGATACACATATCAAAAGACTTTGAGCAAAAGTTTGATTGTTGTTTCTCTTCCTTATTTTTTTTTTTCTTTTTAATCATCTTCCTTTGGGTAAAAAATGACAGAAAATTCGAATAGTAAAATCGTTGTTGTCAGTTGTGCGCGGCCGGTATTGCACTCTACTGACTAAAAACTACTAAACTCTAAGATTACGTATTATTTGCATTAGAAAGTGCTGTATTCATATCAAAATGTAAAAACATTTTTTTCGCATTTTTTTTCTTTTTCTCTCAATACCATTTCGTTTTACTTATGTATCATCATCACCATCATCATCCTTCCCTAACAGATACAATATACGATCGTGCAAAGCTAAAAAATTCTATGTAAAAATACAAAAGCTTTGTTTTTAAAAAAATGTGCACTCTGTTCTTTAGATGACATGTTTCTCAGCGTCCTCCTTAAAATAATCATCGTTATTTCTTCGTTATTATTTATTATTGTAAAACATATGAAAATGTTTTTGATGTTTTTGAGCTTTGTAGATTTTTTATATCCGTGGAGTAAAATTGACACCTATTGTTTAAAATATGGAAACATATAAAAAGTGTATATGCATTTATTCTTTTTTTCTTTCTTCTTCTTATGAAAAACAGTTGCGACAATTAAGATATATTGAATTTAATAATGATTGCCATTAAATTGATCTTTTCTTTATTGTTCAGTGGTGCTCTATCCATCTTTCTAATATCGTATTTATTTATTTTTTTGGAGTGTGTTCCTTTTCTTTTTTTATTTCTTCTACTAAGACGAAGCATCTCAAATCTGATTGCTTTGATAACATTTCATGCATAAATTTGTAAAGCATATGTATATATAGATATATATATATATAGATATATATATTTGTATATTTTATATATATATTTATATATTTTAATGACTTCCGTTAAACATTTTTACAGAATGCAGCACTTCTTTCGTATTCTTACATGCCAACTACAATTTATTACCCACTAGTATTATTGTTTTCTTTATTTATTATATGATTATTTCCTATAGATAACGTTATGCACCATTAAAGAAGAGTGGAAGGATTTAAACATATTCTAATTTTTGTACATTCAATATTATTAAAATATTTTTTCTAATTAAAGCAACAACAACGCAACGTTTTAACGAACAATTAGTTTTATTAATTCTATTGCCATTTCCACTCTCTTTTATTAGTCGAAAAAAAGAAACATTTTAAGTGGCATATGTTTTCCCTCATATTTTATCGATGTAACAATTTTCATTTATTCTTACAGCTTACAGCTAAAACACGTTTATAATACCTCGTCATTGTTTTTGAACACTTGCGTTCTTCTTCTCATTCAGTGGCAGTAGAGAATATAGTTGGTAACATTTATATGGTGTAATAATTTAATTAGCTATTATTATCATCATACGCGCGCGCGCGTGTAATATAAATAATAATATATTTCTAAAAATAATAAGCGATAGAATTATTCTGCCAAATATAGCCCGATAATAATAATCAACCGAAAGGATCAGAGAGAAGTAACATTCACGAAAGAAAAGACATATGCCGCTTATTTTCCAAAATCAATTTGATTGGTGTTTGTTGTTGTTAATTATCAGTCTATGATATAATTGGATATTCGACTGATCGTATCAGTCATGTAATAAGGCAGGCGCACATGCTACTGTATGACAAAGATTTAGTTTTTCTTTTTTTTGTTTTCTTTTTTTTTTTTTTTTTTCAAAACCAATTTTAACTCTTAATAATAATTATTGCATTTTGCATAAAAAGATTAACCCTGTACCATTGGATATGATAACGACGATGTATGTATGCTGCGCGTACAGGATAATTTTCATTGTCATATAATATTATGACCCTCGTATTCTACCAAAGAGAGCATATAAAAATCATATAAATTTTTGACATTCAGTAACATGTACTATCCACGTGATTAGAGATTCTGGGTGTGTAAGCTAGAATACAATATTGATTTTTTTTTCTTCATAACGTAAAAGCGTTAATTATAAAGAAATATTTAATAAGTATACGTCAAGTAAACCCCTCTCGTAATGTTTTCAAATCTAAGATCAAATATACACAATAAGACTAATATAACATTATATGGAAAGACTAGGAAGGCAATATTGTTTATTATGGTTGTGTATCTTAATCTAGCTTTACAGACTCAAAATCTCTAAATTATTACTAAATACAACAGGACAGATATTCATTCCATTGGATCCCCAGCATTTTCAAATATAGTTGAATGCGTGTTGTTTGTAGTGGGCCATAAGAAGCCCCCAACACTGCCGGGTGGCAAATATGATGCACCTCCACCTAGTCCGACCTGATACGTTCAAATAGCTGTTAAAATTTTATTTTAAGCAAAGGCACGTGCGCGTACATTATCATCAATATGAATATTTATTGTACTTTATTACATTACGAATTCATATATTCACAAAGTGAACATATGCTAATTAATAATAGTTATAGTAATAAGAATAACAATATATATATAGATAGCCAAATGATTAATTATAAAAATATACAAAGCACTAAATATATAAATACGGGTAGAGATATAATAAATACAATTTTTACGGCACATTGATTTTTACACAAAAAAGGGATTTGAGAGACCATGCATATGAATTGAAATTAATTTTTGATCGTATAATAAGTAGGCCAACTTAAACTTAATGTAACTGTTTATTTCCTTCAACATAAATTCACTAAAGAATAACAATTACTGCATAAAGGTGTGCTAATATAATCATTTTATAATAACAGTCACAATAATAATAATAATAATAATAATAATAATAATAATAATAATAATAATAATAATAATAATAATAATAATAATAATACAGCAAACCGGCAGAAAACCTTAACTTTACAATCTACTACTTTTTACTACTATAAATCTAATTGAAGCAAGTAAGCGGGATCTAAAGCTTTATAGTTTGTAAAAAATGTAAAAATATAATAAGTATAAAACATACAGCCACAAAATTATTTATAGCTGTGTATCACAGTTTTTGTTTACAAAAAAAAAAAGTTAAATAAATTATAGCCTCTATAGATATACATATGTGTATGTATATACTTGCGCGCGCGTGTGTATATATATACTAATAAAATTTTTACATTTTTATTTGTTTTATAGAATTACCTGTTGACTCCATAATAGCGTCCGTTCAGCTAACTGACAATCAGCAGCTAATCTAGATGGTAAACTCTTCCACCTTTCTTCTTCTCGTTTTCTATCTCTATCAAAATCAGGGTCGACGTGTCCCTGAGATAAAGGTGGTAATATTTGTGTTCTCTGGGCCATTTTATAACTATCTTGTCGCGAAACATGATCGATACGTCTACTAGTGGTATTCGTCGATACTGGAATTGGCGTTGGGCTTCCACCTGCACGGTGTCTGTGATATAAATTTCGTTTCTGTTGTAACATACGTTGTTGTACCAAAAATTGTAACTGGGTACCAGAATCACCACGCATTTTAAATTGTGGTTGATTTTGAGGTGGCGTCGATGGTGGTCTCAAATGAACAAGATCTAAATGTCCTTTAGCTTTACCAGAATCTGTAATAATATTTATAAAATAGAGTGGTCATTTTTTAAAATCGTAATATTAAAAATTGTAAAAATAGGAAAACAATAGGAGCAATAAACTTACCTTGAATACTTCGTTGCCTTGTAGTAGGTCTATCACCGCCTCCTTGTTGATAGAAAAGTAATCTTGGTCCACCATCTGATGCTCTGCGTCCTTGGGAGGCTCTTGATATTCTACCAGTTATTGGAGAGGGACTTTTGGGTGGTGGCGGAGTGCAAGAAGGTAAACTACTAGTAAAACAGTTTGCCCCTGTATAATCTGGTGGGCAACCGGAATCAAAACTAGATTCGAAAAGATCGGACGATGAGCTGCCGCTACCACCAGCAAGAAACAATGTCGTTCGACTAGGAGGATCAATAGGATCCATAAGTGGACTATCAAAATGTTGCTGGTAATCGCTTAATCTTCGATTGACAATTTGACTGTCGATTCGTTGGCTGATGTCATGGTCTAGGCCAAGCCTATGCTCTTCTAATTTAATTTGCGCTTCCCTCAACTCATCGCTACTTGGTCCTTCTTCTAAATCACCTTCTGCACTGCAACAACCTTCATCGGTCGAAGAGCTCGTTGAACTGAAGCGTTTACCTCCCCTGCCTACGTCGTCTCTTGTTCTAAAACAAAGGATGGATATTGATCTGTTATATTTAAAGTTATTACAAAATCTTCCATATTTTTTGTATCTCTTGTATTCATTCATTGACACAGGCTTACGTAATAATCTTCTTCTTACCACTACAGCATAAATGAAAAAGATATCATTATCATGTCATT